CTTGGATCCCCATCTCACTTCCAGTTCGTGTTGTCTCTAGTTGGTTCGATACTACGCTTAACCACATAGAACCTGATTTGAGGTGCCAACTTAAACCTTGTTAAGCACAGTAACTTCAAAACTCACCAACATTCCTCTGGAAAATATCAAGTTATATAGTAAAAAAGCTTATATAAGTCCGAAGATATTTATGGTTAACATAAATCATAAACTGTGTGATTTAGAACTATAAATACTGAAAAAAAGAGAAGAGATCAAAAATATTCTAGTAACGGAAATGCTGAGCACATTTGTTAAACTGCTTTGGGAGGACCCAATTTCGCCATCTTTCTCGACTTGTTACACATTCGATTCGATCGATAGAGAATCCGTACGGATGATCATGAAGGACGACGCAATAGCAACAAAACTGGCAAAGGTCTACTAGTTGGTATCCGAGTGTACAGCGAAAAATCTTCGGAATTCTCACTAAACTCAAGTGTGTGTGTGTGTGTGTGTGTGTGTGTGTGTGTGTGTGTGAAAGAGAGAGGTGTCGTTTCTCGCTCTCTTCCCTGCAGTTCAAATACGCGATAGACTGGATAATAAGATAATAATGAGAAGGTTAAGCCGGTATACAGTGAAGCTCACCGATTTGTATATGCAGAGGGTATAGTTCATCTGGGGGACAATCCACAAAACCGCATAGTTCATTTATTTAAAGCGGTTAGACAAGAAGTCAATACATCGAAGACAAAGAAGTTCGTGATATTAATCCAACCTGACGAAACTAAATGGCTGACGACTAACGACGCAGCAATTGAACACGTTACGCCCTTCCGGTATGTAGGATCAACAATTCTACACATCGGTCCGAATAACGATGATATTTCGGGCGGCATTGTCCAGGTGAGAGGCGTATTGCTAATATTCCTCAACACAGTTGAGACGGGAGAAGAAATAAGTCTCTGGACTAAATGACAAGTCTTCCAGGCCGTCCTTCACCCGGCTCTAAAACGCGGCCCCTTCGAGAGGACGATACCAGAAGACTGAAGGTGTTCAAACACTGGTGCCTCTGGAGGATAAAAAGACCAGATACCAGATGCGTAGACGGTCTAAACATCCGACTATGGTCAGTATTCATAAAATACAGCCGTCTGAAACGGTTTGGTCACGTACTCGAACTTCTGCCCCGCCCGAACCCCATGATCATCTTGGCAATGATAAAGGAGAAGCCATGCAATAGTGTGACTTTCGACTATCAAAACAGACGCTGAACCCCTGTGACTATANTACGCTAAATCTATGGTTCATGCTGCCTGCCACAAAACTAGATCATCATTCCCAAGATCTGTCAACGGGTAGAGTTGTTTACTGTGCTTTTCATTAAGCCGATTCATCCTCTTACAGAATAAAAACGCATAAAAGTAGACATCTATCAGTCCGTTTGATTCAGGTAGAGTTGAACGGCCGTTACTCGAGCTATGAGAAAACTATCTTCTACATGAGTGGCAAACGACTGACAAATGTGAAAATCAGAGTGAATAAAAACAGTGTTTTGAACAGTATGGTGAACACAAAGAAAAGGGGTCAGTGAAACACGCAATACTGTAAACAATAGTGAGTGTGTAGTAAAGACACGGGCGCAGCCATCTTGATTTGATAGTGAGTCGTGTGCATGCCCCACCGGGACCTTTTGGTTCATGGTTGCTTTTTGTATTTTCCCTGTCTTGCCGGTCATTTGGAAGCCCCGCTCCACGGAGAACCTACTGTGAAAACTGTGTCCTACCTGCTGTGTATTGAGAGCGTCAGTGAGTGATCAGGGATTGTGTGGCCTTTTGAGAAAACGCTAATTGTATAGGAACTCGGACTGCGTTGCCCGGAATCAATCTGCCAGTGTATTTATTTCAAGTGGATTCAGAACTGGGGTCGGTCCTGTATATTACAAGTGAAATCACTTTTGATCGCACACAATTCAGATGTGCACCACGATCTCAAACAGAGAGGGCAATAAACCTAGTGCAACGGACTGGAAATACACAAGTGATAGACTACAGAACCAGATATTAGGCGGTCCTGGACAAGCATTTAGTAGATCAAGGATTACGGAATGACGACCACTCAGGTGGTCAACTGTGCGTGAATAAGTGAACATTGTTTCACCGATCAGTGGTGAGTTTTCGATTGGAGAGCGATCGCTCTGCAATAAAAAGCCAGACAATCAGGGTCGTGACGTGTAAGAATCGAGCGCGATACGTCTATTTTACAAGTGGTGCTTAGTTGTGCAACGGCTACGGGCATACTTTGAAGAAAAACCGCAGGTGGTACTGGAGAGGCCAGTTTGTACTACATTCCCAAGATTGTCCATAGATTCATCCACGTAACTTAGTAGATAGTCGCCTAAACCTAATTACACAGAACTCAGTGGTCATTCAAGTGTTCCAAATACTTTTTTCGTCCTCAAAGAATGCACACCACAATGAACTGTGTTTTTCAACCGTGAATATATAAGGCTCGATAAAATGCAAAATCGTTTTCCACAATTTAACCGATTGATACACCACTAGAAATTTAACTATCTGGACTGTTCAACGCACCGATTCTATACGTTTTTCTCTCTCAATTTAACATCATAGCAACGAGTGATCCAAGCAGTTAAATTGCCAATGTTATAGTGAAATATAGCTGCCCTCAAAAAGAGGGTCAGTGTCCCCAAGGTTGGGTGAGGCCTCGTTCCGTTCTGAGAAATGTTCTCACGCATTGCGTATCTTGAGGCATCTACTGGCAGCATCTTAATCACGGTCTTCTCGTGGTGTGCGTGTGTTTTCAACGCATGGAGAGAAGGCGCAAAGGTAATATCTGAGTGAATGAGTCACGGGCAGTTAGCTCATCTTGGAGAGAGGGNGGCGGGGGTGGAAAATCCTACTTTAAAATGTACTCCGTAGAAGCGTATCGACTGGTTCCGGAACTTCCTGGTAGCGGTGGTCATAGACTCGACTGAGCGATAGGGCATATTGTGCACCTTGGACGTATGAGCCACACATCCATCCCCCGGCAGTTCCTATTGACTGCACTGCGGTCTGAACTCACTGTCCCAGCCCGCTGCCTTGTGAGTTATGTTGCGCTTTGCTGAATGCACGGTCGTGAAGTGCCGCCCCGAATAAAACTGATCTCTCTTGGCCTAGTTAACCTGGCAGCATTCCGTTCACGACCAAGTCTGCGCAAATCATGGAACTTTTTCTTATCATAAAGATTATAGTACTGTGATTTTTTTTAGCACGCAGTCCGGACTGAGATCAACGCGAAGCACAATAGCAATCGTTGTCATCTGATTTCATATAAAAAAAAACAATCCAAAGAGAGAGGACACCATAGATAAGAAGATGAACAGAAAATATAATGGCCAGTGCGGTGGGCATGAGATAGTGGAGAAAGACACGTACCAGGAAGTCCTGTGCCGACCGAGGAAGTATCGTGATCGGATTGGTCGATTCGATGATCCGGACTGGTTGTGAGCGGGGCGTAGCGCAGCAAAAATTCGCGCATTCCTCCTGACAGGATCAGGGGTTCTGTCTTCACAATACTGGACGCGTCCCACTGAAGGCAAGATTGACACACACACACACACACACACACACACGCAGAGAGAGGGATGGAAAAAGTTTCTTGTCAATCACCACAGGGTAAGGCATGAAAAGTCCGTGTATTGAGAACGGTGACAACATGACAGTTTAGAGTGAAAAGTGGTGTAACTAAACAAGCGGGGAAGAGCGCTCTCCAACATCAGAAAAAAGACGTATTTAGGACAAAAGAACAAGACATGATAAAGAAATTCACGCATAGTTCGCGCGCTTATGACATTAATTGACTACCCCCATTCAAAGAAGTTGTTGTGAATTTATGTAACAGCCTCGGATAACCCTCTGACCACTAAATCCGTCAGCTTTGCGACCACTGAAGATAGCCCTCCTTGTGAACTGGTAGTTAGTTGCGAAAAATGTGACCAGTAAAACGAGCAAATTTGCTTTCAGCTACATTACTGTTTCGCGAGCTGATTGACTAGTTTTAGTCGCATACCATGTATGTGAGAAGAGGGGTAGGGGGTGGAGGACAGTATCTGAGTTTGCTCTGGTCTGATCTGATATGTACTTAAGGAAGGCAATGGCGTGTTTGATACATGATGAACAACAGGCGAGCTCTGAACTACTTCATCGTTTGGATCGTAGCACAAAATACAGTAAGGTGAACTTCACTGATTACTACTAAACCAAAAAGAATGCGTACAAAGTTGTCGTGTGTGGGGTGGATGCGGAGTGGATATGCTTTGCGTAAACGGGGAAAATAGGATGTATCTCAGCAGTTACCAGACACAATACACAGTGTAGCTATGCATATGCAACACTTCAAGCACTTGGATTGCTGATCAGTAATGACAACAAGAACGCCACTTCTGTCGATTCACTGTTAAGGCCTTCAGCGATCCCAACTAGCCAGTAACCGAATCTTGTGCACTCCAACCTGGAACACGCGAGGCACCTATTCTGCCTGATCTTGTAGTGTGAGATACTGAAATAGAAAGAAGTCAAGCACATTTTCGGTGCTTCATTCATTAGCCAATTATGCAGCAATCTCTTATAGATCATCAAATAACACGAGTCAGGGAAACGGAAAGAAAAGGTAGATCCCATCTGTGTGCGTGTGCGTGTAATATTCTTATCTTTTTCTTGTTCATTTCTATTGAACACATAATGACACCCTGTTCAGGAAGGGGGGAAGCGGCCAATCAAACGGCTGTCATTCAACACACACACACACACACAGAATGGGGAAAGTCAGACGCCGGTGATGGTGGGATTCGAATACACATTCCCCCGGGTGATAACTCGGCGACGTGACCACCGGACCATTACCACCCTATTGTAGGGGGTACATGGGAGTTCAAATTATTCTGTAAATTACATTTGTCTCGTAGAGTAAATCAGATAAACATAGACGATTTGGCATTTGTTTGGTAACAAGCGTTAGGTCACTCTGGTGTTTACAGCCGGCCATGGTAAATTCAGAGTTCTGATTGACTCTTTCTGAACGCAAAAAGTGGGACTGATTGTTTCGGCAGTTGACAATAAAATACGTCTGAACTGCTTTGGTCGCAATCCGGTGATCGTGTATATTTGTTATCTATGATTAATATTACACACTTTTGGTGTGATGAACAACAGACAGGATACAACACACCCCATGGTCACTAGGGCCTGTTGTTCATTGGTGGGTAACCGGTAACCTAAGCCCTGCAGGACTCGGACTGGTCAACCACATAAGGCCCCCGATAGGTTAGGTGTGTGTGTGTGTGTGTGTGTGTGTGTGTGTGTGTGTGTGTGTGTGTGTGNTGTGTTTAGATCAGTCTGACTGATTCGTTCGATCTGACAAGATGGGTCGGTTTGAATCAAGTGAACAGTGATTTCCCACTCCTCCGTACTCATCAATGCATAGCTAAACCAACTGGTACGATGGGCTCGGATGTGTTCCGTCAAGTGTAGGATGATAAGAGCGCAATAGATGATTTCTCAGGAACACAAAAATAGGTAAATACAAAATGAGATCAGTTCCACAGGTGATTTGCATTTACCTACAATGAGAAAACTGGTATGTACAAATCGATGGCATAATACGTGTTTCTAGCTGCAGTCAAGGAGACAATTACTTATTATCTCACTGAATGCATCGCTTTTCAAGCAAATCAATTAATAGATCGACTTCTTTCTTGAAGTCAACTCTGGTTGCATTTCTGGGATAGCCTTCATGCACTGTTAAATGATGCAACCTGGATATGCATTTTCTATGTAATAGATCCGGACGTTCCTCAGTTCGTGTTCTCACGAACCAGGCGAACATATTCTCACTGTTCTATTCAGCATTCATCAGATCAGTGCCTTATTTCAGTGCAGGGATACGAAAATTGTGGCAGCTGGTAAACCGTTCTGCTCAGTTCTGCTTTCGATGAACGCTACGTCGGAGACGTTTCTGGACAGTGAGAAAAACAGTAAAGAATGCCAATCTTTCGCGGAAAACTTTATTTTCAGTGTAGAACAAATATTTCCGAGGTTTTTGTTAAATTAGCCAAACAGAACGGTGGGATTTATGGATATGTGAACCACGGAAAGGATATTATCGACATAGTACCGACACATTCCCTTACGTGACCATCCAGTATTTCAGTTTTCTAGTTGGCCAAAAAAGGACCTAGGAGAGAACCCATTGCAATCCCGTTATTTTCGCAGTACGTCTATCCACTGAAGTGAAATTGCTCCGTCTATAGACATGAATAAATTGGGTTGTGAAGGTCTAAAATAGATGACCCACTATTCACATATATATATATATATATATATATATTTGCGTGTGTGTGTGTGTGTAAAATACAGCTTTGCAAACGTGTTTAGAACGAAGGATTATTTGAATGCCAGGACGTAGCGTTGACAGTCGGGATTCGGAAAGACTATGGTCAGAGGAACTGACAACACGTCTCCAAAGGACGGATAGGTAAACGACCTTGAGTAAGTGAGTATTGTACAGTTGAGTAAACGGTAGCGGACTATCAGTGAAGTTGTTCCGTCATTCCACCCCAAACAATAAAACAAGACTTGCGCTGCCCAAAATAACCTAAGGGTTGTGCGCGAAGTAAGCTAGCGCTAACAACTTCGTATTCTACTTGTAGAATTTGGTTGTACAAAGGTCACATATGCACGTTCGACGAATAGAAATCATTTTGTGGCATACTTTCAAACTGCTTCACAGATGCACACTTTATCTCGCCCGACAGGGTTTAATACGATGAAGAAGTTCGTGTTGCGGGCTCCTATATATGGAAGGCGTACTCGGATGAGACACCGGTTTATGGAGATGGGCATGGAGGCAGTGTTCTTCATTTGACAATAGATGGCTGATAAATCTATCACATGAATTTAAATACTTGATTACATTGAAGTCAACCAAAACGGTCTTTGAAATGCCAATACAAGAGGAAAGAAGTTCCAAGGATCCGGAAAAGAGAATAAAATCTTTATCTTTTAGACAGGGAAAAAATACCGGAGAACAGTACAACCAGTGTGGAAGAATGCAGTCGGTCACAAATTCAGAGGAACGCCGAGCTTTTTAAGCCTAAAAGCATAGAAGGATAGTCTACAAGCCATAATCCTGATCTTTGTCATCATGTCACAGATGAGGACGTTAAGGGTGACCTCGGCTGCAAAACATGAATCCAAAGTGGGCGGATGACTATGCCAGAGATACCCTATCAGCGCCAAAGTGATCGAATTAAACTTCAGAATATGAATTTATTAGTGCACACATTGCGTCACCTGTTGGGTGTTTCAAGGAAAAACTGCGAGGAGCCATTTCATCAACCGATTTACATGAATCGAATAAATGCATGTACAAGCTGGGTTTCTCAATATGACTTACCTTATATATGGCATCTTTCATGAGGATCAGTGGATGAGATCGAGGCAATGCGTTCGCAATCGGAATATCGGTCATTCCGGAGCCACTATTATCATCCAAGAGCACAATCTGGTCGAATTTGCCCCGATTTTTCCAATGTGCATGAAACGGGCCATTTGACAGAGTAGTCGAGATGATAGTGAAGGTCGTACTGGGAAACCAATCGGGAGTGTGTACGGCGATAATTTAGGTCCCACTTGATGGAGAAGGTCATCATGAGTGTGTGTGTGTGTGTGTGTACACCTTGGTTCTGATAGTACAAAATAGTTCCTCGCGATCACTGACCCTAACATGTACCTTAAACCGGTGGGTAGCACACAAGCAAGTGAATACAAATGGTGGCACGGTCTCAAGCAAGAAGTGTGAATAGTTCGATGGGTGGTATACGAATGAATGAACTAGATCAAGTGCATGCAATTCAGTTGAGTAGAATGACGTGCTGACATCCTATCACAAATTTCTGAGATAACTGCATCACCATGTACTGCATTAGAGAGGGATTGAATCAAACAAACAAATGACAGAAGTAAATGAAGCAAATGACTTTCTGATACGATCAAATAAAACACATCATTCATGAGGAGGACAGTATGGTCGATTATTCTCAACTTGTGCACATTCGGCAGTTTACCGTTCAACTACTATTGGTCAGCCATGTTTGTTTTACTATCTCCGGTGAAGATTATCACCGATCCAGTCGATTACAAACCAAAACTTGATAACAACTCTAAAGCGTTAATACACGGAGGCGGCTCAGCTGCGTCTAGTAGGCACAAGGAAACAGAACAGTGGAGGAACGTGTGCAAGCATACAAAGATTACTAAATGGAGAAGTTGCATCAGAGTACAGGGGGATTTGATTGCATTCAATTTCGTGGAGCGAATCAACCCCAACCCGCCCCCCATCTATAATCTCATGCAACCATTAATCAGGTTGTGAAAATTTCCAACCGAGTCACAACTCTGGACGCTAGTGCTAACATGAGCGAGGCACGATACCCGCAACAACCTCACAATGATGAGTTATGCTGTATAGTGTAAATGGAAAACGAAAAACGGTCTGATCAGCGGCCCCCGGGGTGTCCGAGTGAGTAGCATGCTTGCGTCCTGACTGTGAATTCCTGGGTCCGACCTGCAGTTCGGTTGATAAATTCGCACAGCTGATCAGACCTCACCGGATCGAAACCGATGTACGATGCTTCCTACCTTTTTAGTTCAAGCTTTATTTGCTGTATACACGACGAATTCCCTCTTTGCTTCCAAGAGCCTCAGTATGGTCGGGGGTGGGTGTCTACGGTTGCGGCTGGTTACCCGTCCTTTAAACCTCACGAAATGCTCTCATACCAGCAAGCGTCTCGAATAGTCTCTGCCGAGGAAGCTCTACTCACTGCCTTCTCGTGGCGGAGGTGTTTTCGCACCAAAGTGAGAGGACGAAAAGTCGACATCCGGGGCTACAGTCGGGTTGGTGGACCACTGGTAGTTCACTCAAGGGAGTTGGCAAAAAACCCTGATTCCAAATCAACCAAGAGGACGCGTACGAACCGCATACAAATTTCTGGTTGTGGCAATGGTCACCAGCTCGATTGGACGTTTGACCCCGTCCAAAGGGTGTGCAATCCGATGAACTGGACACCCACCCCCAATGGATTGCGGTTTTCGCACACCGCCCCGCTGCATTGTGGGTCAGGCTTTGGCTAGCCGTAGGCTCCGATTATGAATTCCTCAAGAAAATTCACGTGCCGTGGTCTGGGCAATCTGGCAGTATTCCGCCCACATGCAACTCATGGAACGTTCTTCTTCTTCATAAAGTTTGTTGCACCATCATTTGCTTGACACAGTCTGGTGTGAAGCATAATATAAAACAATACGGCACTCAGCCATATGACTCAACATTTGGAACCATCGGTTGCCCTGATCCCGAGGTCCTTATCCAGTAAGTCCAACACGGCGTTTAGGATGGACTCTCCCGGTTGGGATTTTCATACCCGCATGCCAGGTATTAGTCTGATTGCCCCTGATTTTTTTCCATACATTACCTGCATCGGTAAAGATGGCGCGCCTTGGTAACCAATTTGGTGATATGCGAAAACACATACCCCAACCAACGCAATCTATGGAGATCGATCACTTGCTTCAGTGGACGACTGCGATTACCTGAAACGGTGCCCCTAATCTCAGCATTGCTTGTTCAGTTGCCTCACCATAATCGTGCAATGCTGCGCAGGCACCGGTATTTGAACACCGACAGCCTATCCTTAGTCCGTTTCCTTGGTATTCAAATCTGTACCATGTATAAACATGAACCGAACCGCTACAGCCGGATATCAGGACGATGCCATAAATATCCCAATTTGGAAAGTGCCAACCGAGCCTTCCAGTGTACGTCCAGATGATTCCTGTATGATGCGTTTGGCAGGTGATATGCAGCTGTCTAAACAGAGAACTTCGTCTTCACTCCTTATTACATCCTAGTTGCGATAGAAAGATGGAGTTTGAAGGTGTAAAACGCACGCCAAACATGGCTAGACTACAATGCCACTTACTGAAGAAGGATATCATGCAAAGATTGCACTGCAAAGCCCAAAATTCGGAGGTCATTTAACATAATTAACTGGAAGAAATTCGTGGTTGATTGTAAAGCGAGGAAAACTGTGTATTAATTGGAAAGACTGTCGGATTTGTCAGCTACGAATCACATACAATGT